CAAATCCTCTTGTCATGTTAAACAAACGACAATTATGTACTTATTACAATCTTATATCCTGATAAAATTATCGAAGTAGGTAGCAAAAGAATTTCATTAAATCCGTTTCGTCTTTCCAATTATTGATTGTTTGAATGATCTGTTGATCTGAGAACAATGTAAATCCATTATCTGCAGACGAAATCTCGATTTACGAGGGCGTATTATGAAAACAAAATATTTATTAATAATAATAAGTATAATTGTAATGTATTTATCAAAAATATCATTTCATTTTTGGTTTGCTTATCACAAAGACATCAAATTTGGCGACAACAGATAAAAGATTCACTAGTCCATAGTAGATCAAGTATCCATACAAGTTCACGCCTTTTAATTTAATACATATTAAGTAAACTAGTTGAGAACAAAAATAACAGTAAAACATTCCGTTAAAATACACACAAAAAAAACTTATTGGTGTTTGTTTTGAATTTGGTTCATGTAAGAATTTTGGTTTAAAATCCTGGTCAAATGTATTTTGTTTCCAGCCATTTACTTTGTACACCTTTGTTAATCAATACACTATCTGTAAAACTGAAATTTAAAGATGCAAAGTCCATCTGTTTTTCACGAATATATTCTATTCCGTCAAATGACCTTGTCTTTTAATGACTTCAATGTTACCAAAGGATAGATATCCTTCAGAAAATACAATCTTATATTCTTCGATAAAGATAAATTGATAATTTTTTTACCCCTACCTCCCCCCCCCCCCCCCCCCCCCCCCGTATCATTAACATCCCATGCAATCAAACGGACATCCCTTTGATTTTGCTCGACTCAAGGGCAGGAATAAATTAAATTTCTTTAGGGTCCATCCATAATACAAAATACCTGAAACGGAGTTGGCGTTCGAGAACTTAGTATTTTTATACACCAGGCGCTAGTAATGAATTATAAACATTTACATAATAATTTGTTTATATCATTTATAAATCATGTAGTGAAACTGAAAACGATCACATAGCTTTGTTTCACATTTAGGAATACAAGAAGGGTTTACGCCCGAAACAGATACGCCTTTTATGGTTCCACCTTCTATTGTTAGACGCCTGATAATATTCTAAGATAACTTTCATTTTAAGCAACAAACATTGTAAAGCATTTCACAGAATATATTACCATATTAAATAATTCGAAAGACTTTGTCAAATTGTTTTATTTTAACATATTTAGTACCTATTATAGTGTTATTATTATACGCGTTGACATTAAATATCATGGATACTTTCCTTTTCTGTACATTTACTGTATATACAATATTGAATTATCCGAAATACTAAGGTGTTTATTAATCTCAGGTTTAGATAGCCGTAACCGTATTTGGCATAACTTTTCAGAGTTTTTTGGTTTTTAATGCTCTTCACTTCGTACTTGATTTGTATTTTCATCTTTTTGATTCGAGCTCCATTGATGGGTCTTATGTAGAGGACACGCGTATTTGGGTGATGAAGATGAGTTTTTCTGTCGCTTTAATTCGGCGTTTTGTAGATAGCATTATTTTTTAAAGATTCATCCAAATCACTTGAGATGAAGGAAACATTGAATAGCTATTATAAAAAGATATATATGCGTACTCCCCGTACAAATATAAATGCATATCTTGAGATCGGTATTAAAGGAAACTTGTTTTTCTATAACCCTTCAAAAAATAATTCTGGAACTGCTTGCCCTTTCGGAACACCTGGTTCATATTGTTCATTCCTTGATTTTTCCCGTACTGTGCATGCGTCTTTTATAAAAAAATATATTCTGATATCCTTGCTTTTGATATACACTTTTCTAATTACCACTTTCTTTCTCGTTAAACTTCTTTACTACATATATATACTTGATGGTATAAAGGATGTGTTCAATCGATCACTACACTCATACCAAATCAATCAAACAATTCATTATTACATACTAAGACCGATTGCATAAGAATTTCAAATATGTTGAACTAACTATAGTCAAAGATCTAGATTGAAGACTTTCGATTTTTTAAGTGTTTTAACTAATCTATGCACTTTCTTGTTATCCAAAAGAAAATTTAAAAGTTTATAACATGCAAATCAAAACCGTTATAACTTGTTAATTTACATTGCATTAAAACAATTTGAATTCGTATAACAACAGAACATGATTAAAAGCTTCCACCAATTTCATTTTGAATTAAAAACTAAACATTAAGAGCAAAGGTTGCTACAAAATTGCGTTTCATGCTTCAAATTACCATAGAAAACGCATGAAAACTAAACAATTAATTTAACATTCTGAACAATTGACTAAATGTACTCTTCAACAAATGATGGAATTATTCAGAATAGAATTTAACATTATAAAACGATAAACCAACTAGTTTCGGATCTATTTTTGGTAAATTGTCTCTTATCTGTTGACCATGGTGTAGTCGGGTCCTTATTCATTTTGTGATTTTGGCTGCTTCTTGCTTTTATTATCATACTAAGGAGGTTGTATTAGATAATATAACCTCATTGATTATGGCAATAAATCTAAAGTATTCATGATCGGTAAAATTCAGATTTTTTTCGTGGCAAATATATGCACACAACAATTTTTTTTATAAAAATATTATTTAATAACTTTAAAAGACATATAACATTTAAATAACTGCATGCAACTTTTTCTGGAAAAGTAATATGCAGAAGAGTGTCCACGTTAAGACCTAAATTGATGGTTGTCTCGCCACCATAAATTTTACATGGCCGATCGAGTTAGTCATTATATCATAAAACATAAAACTTATTGAACTGCTGTGTTAGAATTAACATAGAAACAACATCCTCATTTACATTTATTTAATTGCCTATTCTAGCTAAGATACGATGTTTTCGGGCATAATTTGCATGCGTAATATATATAATACTGAAATAAAAGAATGCTCGACATTACATATAATCATAGATATATTGGATGTTATGGAGTTAATGTTGATAAGTTGTGAAGAAAGATAAAAATAGAATTGAGAATGGAAATGGGGAATGTGTCAAAGAGACAATAACCCGACCATAGAGCAGACAACACTCTACAACTGTTATGCATTTCCCTCAAGATTATGACGTGAATATAGACTCTACAACTGTTCTGCATTTGCCCCAAGCTTATGACCTGAAGAAAGACTCTACAACTGTTCTGCATTTCCCCCAAGCTTATGACGTGAAGAAAGACTCTACAATTGTTATGCATTTCCCCTACCAAGCTTATGATGTGAAGAAAGACTACAACTGTTATGCATTTCCCCAAGCTTATGACGTGAATATAGACTATACAACTGTTTTGCATTTCCCCAAGCTTATGACGTGAATATAGCTTTTCTCGTTTGAATTGTTTTACATTTGTCATTTCGGGGCCTTTAATAGCTGACTATGCGGTATGGGCTTTGCTCATTGTTGAAGGCCGTACGGTGATCTATATTTGTTAATTTCTGTGTCATGTGGTCTCTTGTGAAGAGTTGTCTCATTGGCAATCATACCACATCTTCCTTTTTATATCTACAACTGTTATGCATTCCCCCCACGGTAATAATCGTTCAAACTCTCTTCGAAACCGCCTCTGTGGTCTCGTGGTAGCGTGTTCGCCTCGAGCGCGGGAGGTCATGAGTTCGAACCCCGGCTCGGTCAAACCAAAAGCTTTAAAAATTGGTATGTCTTGCTTCTCCGCTGATCAAGCGGCATTTAGGAGTAAGAGCAAAGACTGGTCCGCTCTGAGTCAGAAAAATGTGTCCGGGTAAGGTGACATGTCTTCCTGTGGACTAGCACGTTAAAAATCCGGCTCAGTGTGTCGGTATAGTATAAAGCAGGATAAATATTCTTCTCTTATGCCGTTGTGGCCTGCTATCTATTTCTTGCATCCATATTTATTTCTCGTATCACACTGCACGGAGTGTGATACGAAAAAGTGATACGAAAATCTGCGTTAATTTGATTGGCTTATTCAGCATCACAAGACGATATTACGGCATTTCCATTGGTTATTCGTAAGGTCAATGATGAATTTCAAAGGTTAAGACGATGTACATTTCGTCCATGGCAACGGCCATTGTGATTTCTTCAATAATATACAAAACACTCGCACACTTCACCTGACAATCTTCTTTTTGTCAAACTTTACTACATTCTGACGCGAACAAAAAGTCTTAAAATGTCTGATGTTAAAGTTTGACACCGGAGAAGGACATATGACGTCATACTGGAATGTGCAAAAGACTAGATCAATATTTCGCGAAATGTTTAATTTTACACATTGGGAGTGTTGACTATAAGAGAAATAGGTTTAACAACTTGTGAAAATTGGATATCACTTGATATCAACTCTCGTTATTTAATTTAAATAGTAATAATAAACTCGCCGAAGGCTCGTTTATTATTATATTGAAATTACATAACTCGAGTTGATATCAAGCGATATCCCATTCTCACTCGTTATAAAACCTATAATATTACATTAACAGGTTCTCGTCCTGAATATGTATATTAATTTGTCGCTGGACATTAAGCAGCCATCCATCATCATCATAAACATCATCATCATCATCATCATCATCATCATCATCATCATCATCATCATCATCAACATCATCATCATCATCATCATCATCATCAACTCTCTTCACATTAGCAAGTTATTGATCGATTGACTGGATGTCTGATTTACGTCCAGTGGCAAATATTTTGATTGTCAGTTACGACCAGTGGCAAATATTAAAATGTCATTTAATATATATAAATACTAGATGTAAGGTTTTCTTTGAGATATTTGATAGGTGCATACGTACTGAGTGTTAAGTGATGAAATAGTCGTCATTGTTATTTTAATTGATGTATTTTGGTTTGTTTTATATTATGTTGTAAATAAAGGCACGGTTAGTCTTACTTAAACGATAAAAATATACAAATTTTGCATACTTGAACAGGTTACTACTTTCACCAATATTAAGAATTCTTTTCTAATTTCAGAATCCTCCTGTACATTGAACAATCAGCATTATTCTGAAGGGGAGAAGTGGAATCCTAAATTACAAATTGGATCAAATTGTGTTGAGTGTACTTGTATTAAGGTACTAACAATTTATATTAATTACATATTCCATCTGAATCAGTTTTTTGTAGTTTGCCTTTTGTTGGCATTTTTATTTCAAGGTCGAGAAATCAATATGATCATTTTATTTTGTTTGTTGTAATTTAACCAAAGCAAAGATGTCCATTAATTAAACTTTAATATGTATACAGAGATCCTAGTAAATAGACGGAATTATTAAGTTTAAATAAATATATAATGATGTGTGTAGAACATATAAAAATCAGAAAATATAAAAGAAGATATGAACAAAAGAAGTCGTTAAGATATTTGTCATTGCTATTGTGTTTCACTTTATCTTTTAATCTGCGTTCTCCCTAAAAAGGTTTGGACTTTTAAGACAGATTTTGGATAATATCTTCGGACGTATGAATACGGAATATCCTTTTTACATCTGTATATACGTATCAAAATTTAATAAAAAAAAAAAGACCTGCGTTTATATGAAGACAAATCCTGAAATGTGCCTTTTACGCTTTACTTTGTTTTCCAGTAAATGTATACATTGATTTGTGGTATCTTTGATGTCAAAGGACTCGTATTTGACTACGCTTTGATTAAAGAATATTTCGCAGATATTGAACTGTCTCGAGTAAATAACCCAAAAAACTAAAATTTTAATATGCACGACAAGTTTTCCAGGTTTAAACTTTGGAGTATAATTTAAGATTAAAGTTTGAAATACCTTACACAATTCATGATGAATGAAATCACGGATAAAAGCGTCATATATACATAAGCCTAAAATGCTTCCGTGGTGACCTATAGTTGCTTAAAACCACGTCATTTGGAGTTTGGAATCTAATGGATAGTTGTTTCATTGGGTGTCATGCCACGTCTCCTTATTGTATACTCTCGGTGCATTGTAAGCTCCAAAGTCATCACATCAGAACCAGTGCTTTTGCATAATATGATTCAGGCCCATACGCATGAACGTTTTTCAAATGTCAATTCATTTCAGTACTCTATAAACAGAACAATTACTGATGGGCATGATTTAACATTATTTTTACAGGAAGAAGTAAAGTGTGTAACAACAGTACAGTGTCCCCCTGTGGAATGCGAGAATCCTAAAACTGATCCCCGAATGTGTTGCCCAGTTTGTGAAGGTGGGTATAAATTCTCCAGAATATGAATTACATTGCACGTGGATGCATCTTTATGGATAGATATGTTCTGCTACTATAAATTAAGTAAATAGATATATCTAATTATTATGAATTTGCTCTTTTTTAAATCTTGTTAACATGCGAATTATGATTAGATAACGTTGGGCAATATAAGAATCATACACTTTCAAAGTAAATATTACAATGTCCATTTTACGGATAGCATTGTACGTTTTAAAGAGATTTGTAATATTTTTACAAGCTCGTGATAGAAATAGATAAAAACTTTAACGTAAATACATGAAATATAAAGTATTGACAAAAGAGGTGAGATAGGGCCTATTTTCACGTAGATTTTGACAACATTCCTCCTACAGTCGACATCGACATCCAGAACACAGGTGGCAAGAACGGCAAAGAATGTTCATATCACGGCAAGAAGTATTCACATGGTGACATCTTTCCATCAAATTCATCAGGAATAATACCAACCTCAAAGAAACAATGTGTTAACTGTGCCTGTACTGTAAGTACTATTTTTTTATCTGCAAATTTAATAATAAGGTTGAGCTTAGAGTTACTGAATTAATCGACTATAGTACTAGGTTATCAATCGAAGAGACACTAGAGCAATCGATCGCGACAAGATATTCGAGCAGACTGCAATATCAATCGACCAGACACTCGAACAGTAATATCAATCGATCACGACAAGACACTCGAGCAGACTGCAATATTAATCGACTAGACACTAGAGAGTAGTTATAACAATCAATAGCGACAAGACACTCGAGCAGACTGTAATATCAATCGACTAGACACTAGAACAGTTAAAACAATCGATCACGACAAGACACTCGAGCAGACTGCAATATCAATCGACTAAACACCCGAAAAATATTATCAATCTATCGCGACAAGACACTCGATCAGACTGTAATATCAATCGCCTAGACACTCCAGCAGTAATATCAATCGATAACACAATCTAGTTTTTCTTCGATCGAATGAAACAGTTAAAATGGAGTTACAAATCATCAACAGAGGTCAAGTTCTAGTATACACAGCTCTAGATCTCACATCTTTGTTTCGCGCTTATTTATAAGAACGATAGGCTATTACATAGATGGAGAATTTTCTAAATGATTCACGGAGTGGCAATCCATGTAAACATATATAAAAAAACTCAATCTAAAAAATCTTTAGTTTTTGCACAATGTTAATAATCGAAACAATGATTATTCATATTCAGTTTTATATATTTTTTAAATTAACTTTCTACAGAATGGAAATGTTTTGTGTCATCTGAAGACTTGCGATATACCTAAAGGATGTTCAAGATTAATTCCAGAAAAGTATGACTGTTGTCCAAAATGTGCCGGTTAGTGTATACATATTTTCGTGATTCTTCACACGTATATTGAACATTTAAAATGAAATACTAGTGCATATTTATTTTCCAAACTAAAAAACACGAGTATCAGGAAAGTTCTCCGGGCTTTGTTAAATACACTTTGCATACTGTTTTCCCATTTTGTTTTTAAACGCAACTGCATTTTTGTACGTTTGGACTATTTTTTTTAAATCAAATATTATATGGGTCAAGCAGCTGGATAAGCAGTATTAATACCAGGCTACGAATTTATAACTGTGCAATAATTGGCAATTGCAGATCCACCACCAGACCACACTACTACAAATAAAAAGGACCCATTCGGTAAGATATTCACACTGATTCAGTCATTTCTGTCTTCTTTTTTTCAATAAGTACACATGTTTTTCACTTTTTAACAAGACGATTTAAATATAATGTATCATCCATTAACCAATATTAATTGTAAATGCGGCAGTCTTTAGCGGCTTAATTTCATTTGATTCCCCCTACATGGAAAAAAAAATAAGACGGATCAAATATGGTGGTGGGAAGTCATCATTTCAACTTAAAACTACTCATGTCATTATTGCCTCCTAATTAACACATTACAGTTTGAAACTTCCCGCTAATACCGTTCACATCTTACCAGTCGTTCTGACTAGCCTAATCATTCACTCTGAGTGAAGTCAATTTTCCAAATGACACTTTTACAATAAAAGTTTACAAATGTTATTTAAATTTTCATTTATTTACTTCAGACGGTTATAAAAACGTAGCCTTTTTATTCAAGGGCAAGGATGTCATCCTTTTATCCTCGTATATAATACAGTCGCCTGTCAATTAAATTATTGTCGACAAAGTTTATCCAACCCCATAACTACCTATGATCTCTTGCAGTGATCACCTGATTGAGTTTCAAACGTCCAAACTTCTTTTCCGAACATCTAAGGAATGTGTTTATATTACAATTTAAATGTTTAAATGTTATTGTACCCTACTAATTATTCCTTTTGGTAGTAATCCCATAACATCTTATTGTCGCCATACTTGATCACGTGTTTGACAAGTTCTCACTACGTATTATTGCGCTTATGCACAGAGGAACATCTTGCGAAATGATGGGAAAATGCTTGCATTGCATGCTGTTTATTGTTTATTTTTACATAAGTTATATCCAGTGCTTTGATGTAGCCTCTAATGAAGGAGAAGGTAGGACATTTAAAAAGCTACAGCGCTTGTTTCTAGGTTATTTTTATCAATTATCATTGAAAAATAATGTATTGGTTGAAATGTTTGTCATAATCCAGTTATCATTTTCATTCATTTCGACACATGATAGATGCGAACAAAGTTTTAGTGAGTTTGATTTTTATTTAATTTTGAATAAAAAGCAATTAATAATGCAGCAAGTTTTTCATGTATTTCATTTCATTTTATTGTTTATAGATTGTGTGGCACACGATGGACTACATAAAAACAGTACAGAATGGAAGCCTATTGTAAATGGTGCTCGTATGCCTTGTGTAACATGCAAATGTTTAGTAAGTAATTGAACTATTGCACTAAGCTGTATATAATGCTAGAAGTACATTCTATTATTATTACAACATTCTGTCAATGAAACATCTAAACATCTAAGTCAAGTGGAAACTATAACGTGCATATTCAGGACGAGCGCATCTTAATGTAAATATGAACCAAGCTAGACATACACGCTGTGTATATGATTTTAACATGCTAGGTCTAGTTGTATTAGTATTTGTCACCTAACTATGACACATTATTCCGTATCTGATCGGAGCAGTCTTTTTTCTTGCATTTATATGTTACGTCCTTGGAGGAGAAGCAAATACCTCATTTTTCAACTTTATGGTTTGACCTGATCGGGGGTTGAACTACAACCTCCCACACGCGAGTCAAGCATGTTACCACGAAACCGCCATTCTTTTGGATGAAAAAGTTATCTATAGTACAAGTTTTGGTCCATTTTAAGTATTTGCCGAAGATTTATTGAATGCGGACTTAATAACTAATTGCTTCCGAAAAAAAGATGTAGCATCGGGTAAATCCGAATGAGAAGTAGTACAAAACAGTTCGGGAATCTCGAAGTTAAAAGTGGCAAAATAAAAGAGTAACAAACACGCGAGATAGTTCATGAACATTCCATTTATTAAGGGTCTAGAATTTAAATAAGATTATTTCAAGATAGGAATAGATGACTATTGATGCTGCTAGTCTTAAGCGTAAATTTTCTATAAACAGGACTGTCATAAGTTATTTGATAATATATATTTCTGCATCATTGACTTAAAATATATCTACAGGTCTGAGAAGAATTTTATTTTGATTTTTAAACGAAAAAAAGCATTATTGGTGATCTTTGGTGAAACTAAAGCGCTAAGAAAATTCAAAGCATCACTTAAATACGAGCAAAGCACACACTTGTCTAATTATACTCCAACGGCAGAAGCATGTAGAGTTATGAATCCTTAGATATTGGACTTTAAAGTGTTTGTTGTGGTTGTTATAATTTGATTGTTTGTTGCTTGATAACTGCTCTGTAGTAGTTATTTCGGGCACATTCAGGATGAGGACAATTAGAAATTTTTTTTAAATAGGTAGGTTCTAAGTGGATCGACCAGGACTGAGGGCGGGTAATTTGGAATGCACTGGATACTGAGGTTAAATTTTGGATAGGGGCAGAAATTTTACCCACATAAGATTTTTTGTGTGATTCTTTAACGTGCATAGAACGTGACACTCTCTGAAAACATAATATTTAACGTCCTCATTCCTACCCGACGTTATTGCGTATTTATACATCCGACGCAGCCAAACAGATGTCCCTCTACTGCGATGAGTTTTACTACCGGGAAAGAGAAGACCGGGTTACCATATTTCTATACTACACTCAACCCTTTGGGTGGATGTTATGATACATATTTTGTATTTAAATATAAATATAAACTTGCCAAAGCGTCCAAAAAGAGATGAAACTTGTCTATTGATGACACGATAAAACTCTCACGCTCCCTTTATATTGTTGGTTGCTTAATTGAAACTAGCACAAATGACAAATGACTCTGAGCCTTTTAACGTGACAGCAAGTTGCAACGGATGTGGTATAATTGCCACTATCTACCAGAGACCAAATGACGTAGATGTATAAGCAATTATAGGTCACCTTATGGGGCTTCAACAATGAGCAAAACCCATACGGTTACCGTATAAAAATTAAAAAAAAACAGTTCAAAATCAAAAGAAAAATATATATGTATTGAATGTAAATCAGTTTAATGCGGACAAATTAACATGAAATAAGTAGATATTATAAATAAGTATAATTAAATTCAAAACATTGTGCTTAATTCATTACAATTTTTAGAATGGGGAAGTAATTTGTGAGAGAAAAGATTGTCCAAAGTTAAAATGCAAGAGAAAAAGAAAGCCTAAAGGTGAATGTTGTCCAGTATGTAGACCAAAAAGGAGGAAGGGTTCGAAAAAAAAGAATAGGAAACAAAAAGATGATGGAAAATGTAACAGCTCCAAAAATAGAAAGAAACAAAGACGAAGAGGCAGAAAGGGTAAAAAAGGTATTCAAATTTTATAATAATGATAATGCATTAGAGATAAAAAAAAAAAAAAATATATATAAATATTGGTGACTTTTCACAATGATTTTTACAAGTTAAACGTCACCCCCCTTAAAAAAAACCAACAACAAAAATAAATAATAAAATATCAAACACTAAAAAACTCCCCCCTCCATGTATAAAACAGAACACGTGAATGTAGTTATTTTACTAGATGAACAACTTACTATATACTTTTTGAAAAGGGAGGTGAATGACTATCAGTTCATCCTTCCGTCTCACTTTTTTTTATCCTTTTTATCCGCTCTGCTCCTATACTTCATGGCAGAACTTGATGAAAATTCCACAGAGTCTGACTCGCATGTTGTTCTTTTGTACTCCATATATAATTTCTTCATCGAATGATTTCTTTAAGTTTTATATTGACAAGAAACTGACTTCGTCATACCTGCATACTACTGTACACATTTGTAATATGTATCATCTCTTCCTGTTTATTATAAATTATTGAAACTTTCTAAAAAAATAAAATGCCATTGTACACCTTCTATATTTGTTTTAATAATTTATTCAAATAATTTTATTTAGTTTTCTAGGCAATCAGTGCATTGCCATAGTTTAATGTTGGGCGGGATATCATTTTGATACCATTGTTCGCAGTATCTTCAGTTTGTACTGCTATCTGGCGTTTGCAAATCACATGAAAAAACTAATTTATTTGAGCTGTATGATATTTTTCTGATTTAAGAATATCCGTTATCCAGATTTTCCATTTAATTTGTATTTTGTCATTTCAGAAAGGAGACGAAAAGTGAATAGTAAAGGTTATTGTTTAAAAACAGACACAAAAGATAGTTCATCAATAATAAATCCTGAGTTGCCAGTTTTATTTTCTAAAACTAACAAATCACAAAGCTGCATTTTCGAAGGCTTTTGCCTTCCAAGAAAGACAAAATATTTAGTGTATAGATATTTTGAAGAAAACTCAAAGACATTTTTTGCATTTGATGACTTAAAGTCTGATACAGTGGAAGTTTGGTTTTGGAAGGTGAACCACACTGCAGGTATGACAATTATTTGTATCTGTTAATTAATTGCTAAACATTTGGGTGTATAGTCGGAGCATAACATTTTATATGTGTGCAATAGTTATATTGAAACTAACTGGTCACTAGTTTTGTAATTTGTGACATTAGTCGATTAGTTGACAATATAAATCTTGAAATAGATAGTGAACAATTTTGATTTCATGCAAACAAGCAAATTTGTTTTACCAAAAAAATAATGCTGTAAATTACGATACAGGTATGGTAGCGTGTATGGCCTCATTTTTAAACCAGAAAATACGTTTCGAACATGCTACAGCATATTCGATAAACTTGCAACTTGATCTATTTCAGCCGAGGCCACTTAAGTTTTCCACATATGACACACTTTTGTGCAATTACTAGTTTTTTGTTTTTGTCCCGTCTGTAAAAGTTTGACTTTAGGCCTTTCTTTCATCTATGTTTCTCCTGTCTGTATGCTAGTTATAAATTTTTATGGTCCCGCTTTATTGCTTTCAAGAGTTTTCGTAATTTACATTTTTTTTCATGTTTCTTCCGAAACATAAAATACATGAGCACAGTTGTATATATAAAGATTTTGATTCGAACATCAAAATTATTTCAATCAATTGTTTTAAAACTCGATTTAAAGGGAAAACTTTACTTTGCAGATGCAAAAAGCGAATTTAAAGACTCTTTAAGTGAATTCCAAATAAACAGTTATCCAGCAAACTGGTTCAGACAACAAATAACTGATGATAAAATAATTTATGGGGCTGCACGGAAAAGTAAGTATAATGTTTATTAACAGTACACTGTAATTACGACAATTTACAAGGGAGACTCAAGATACCAAAGGGAGACAAGATACCAAAGGGAGAGACAAGATACCAAAGGGAGACACAAGATACCAAAGGGAGAGACAAGATACCAAAGGGAGACACAAGATACCAAAGGGAGACTCAAGATACCAAAGGGAGACACAATATACCAAAGAGAGAGACAAGATACCAAAAGGAGAGACAAGATACCAAAGAGAGACACAATATACCAAAGGGAGACTCAAGATACCAAAGGGAGACACAAGATACCAAAGGGAGACACAAGATACCAAAGGGAGACAAGATACCAAAGGGAGACACAAGATACCAAAGGGAGAGACAAGATACCAAAGGGATATTCAAACTCACAAGTCTCACAAGATACCAAAAGGATGTTCAAACTCACAAGTCTGACAAACTGACAACACAATGGCAAAAAAAAAGAAAACCACTAAAAGACAAACATGCCCACAAAACATAACACAAAAAATAAAGACTGATCAACGCGAATCCCACCAAAAACTAGGAGTGACTTCAAGTGCTCTGAGAGGGTAATATGATCCTGCTCTACATGTGGCATCCGTCCTGTTGCTCATATAAGTACACATTCGATAATGTTACATTCGAGGTAAAATGGACGAAAATGTGGTTACTACAATTGGAACAAATCCGTCGTCACAGATTCATCTGTGAAACAGATACTCTATAACGTCAACCAACTCGTGATAGCACACGTAAAATATTCGAAAGGGATGACTTTAACTTTCCTTCTTGGAGCCTTGATTTTAAAGCCTCCTTGTAAGTAGCAACCCTCTTTCAAGGAAATTAATATAGGAAACACAAGCTCTGGATTATTGTATTAGCCGGGAGATGTATACCCCATACACAGGCAGTGCTGGAACGTTGCTACATGAAAATGGAAACTTCACAATTGAGAAGCTGAAATCATATCTTTTATCCTAAAGTTTGGTTTTCAACCTACCGTCATTGTCAATTTCTAGATGTAAGTCAAGATATGAAACATACTTGATTGTGCCTATGGTATCTTTTATTTCAAGTTCGATGGGACAGATGCCTTCAACCAAACTTTGAATTATTCAGTGAAGGATAATGCTAACTTCTTCTATTCTTTCTGCATAAGTCAAAAGTTGACAGTTGAAAGGAATGGCGAATGTTTTGTGAAAAAAACCACGTTCTCCAAACGTTACAAATATGTTATCAATCAAGAAGTCAAGCATCTTAACAATGTCAGTTTTAGGGAATTATTTGTTTGAATCAGAGTGGATTTTTGACAAAGTATGATTTATCCGCCCAGAAGCAAGATATGTGGGTCTACGTTGGCCGTTCATTTTTATTAAACAAAGATGGACCAATTCTTTTAATCTGGCTTTAAGTCGGAAATGGGGAATATTTGTATAGAAGGTAGAAAGGTCAGATGTTTTGTACTTTTGCAAGATGAAAGAGACTTGGATTGTATGTACTCTAAAAACTACAAGTAAACAAAATAGAGCACATTTAAGATATCGGCAAATAGTGTATCAATATAAGCATTGCATTGGTTGGTACTGAAGTACGGATTGTTTTGGTGTTAACATTTGTTTAGAGTAACCCGTACTTTGAATAAAATTGACCAAAATCTTTATAGACAAAAAGTAGATAGAATTTGTGACGATACATGTGTCAATGTTGACAAAACAAATAAACAACCAGGATAATTTACCAATCATTATGTTGTCATTGACTTTTCAAAATTAGTAATCACTGTTATAAATAGTGTTGCCCCATAAAAATGTTATATTCCAAAGATGTTTACTGTTTGAAAACAACGATTAAGCACAATCAGATATACAATACGCGTAAGTAATTGCTTTTCTTTGATACCACCACTGTATGAGGTTACGATACATTTCCTAGTAATTTTGATTTTATAGACTTTACACTAAATTGTATAGCTATATTGCTTTTGTAAATAATGTTTTTATCTTTATTTTCAGAAAAATTAAATACATTCAAAAGAAGACTCAAGCGAACGTACCAAAGGTGTATTAAAAAGTCAGACAAACGCTGTTCTACAAAAATATTAATGCAAGAAATATTATGTGCGGATTTCGAAGAAATTGTGCGAAAAAAATGTGAGAAAAAATCGTAGTTGAAAACTACTAAAGGCCCAGACCAATATTTTCGTTAAATTTGTCATGTTGTTGTCTTTGTATATGACTGACTATTTCGGTCAATTAGTTCCACATGAATTTGGAATCGTTTTTGTTGTTGTTTTGCGAACTTATGTACACTTGAACATATCTTAAATGTAAAAAAAATGGCCTTTCTGCTTTAGTTACATATCATTGCTGTATATTTTTCAACTTGGCTTGATTCAATATAAACTCCGAACAAAAATACATACTGTCTTTCAGATACATCATATTTTGCATTCTCTCTTTCATTATATCTTTGTGGTGATTAATTTGCTTGCAAGTTGACAAAAATGTTACTAAGTTTATTTTTATACTTGTTATTGCTATTTGTTTTATGCATATAGATCATTTTTCTAAACTCTAATGTTGGAAATTAAATTATATAAAGAACAAATTGTTTTACTTTGATGTGACCCTGGCATGGATTTGTGTACAATACTGGTAATAGTTTATTGAAATGCGGAGTGGAATGGAAAAAAGGAAAAAGATCTTCCATACGTTCTACATTGCAATGTCACTTATCAACAATTTAGACTACTATATATTACAACTTTGGAAGCTACTTAAACCGAAACGAAAAGGATAGTGCATGACAAGGCTACTCTGGTGCATGACAAGGCTACTCTGGTGCATGACAAGGCTACTCTGGTGCATGACAAGGCTACTCTGGCCCTTTTTATTTGACTTTTGTTTCACATATCACATAAAAGCCGTCAGATATCACTATCTATATTTTAAAATTCTGCTTTAGGGCTTCACTTTTCATTCATTAAAATAGTTGCCATTCAGGAATGTTGAGCATATGGGTTTACTTAAACATTTCAATCAAAGTGAACTTTTTTCAATGAACGTCCTCCAACATAACTTCAATTTTTCCAACATTATTATTGAAAGTAAAAATAGAATAAAAACACAAAAGACAACAAGTCCAAGAACTAGAGGCTGTAAAGAACTTTTGTCGCTCAGCCGGATCTATGTGCCTCTTCAACAATGGATACAAATCCTCATTTAAGGGGAATTACTCTTCAAGGAGTCATCAAATGATTTGGTCAAAATTGGCAAAATTATAAACAAATATTCAAAAATTGTCAGATAAGGTGAATAACTCATCGAACAAGTCATCCAATGGTTTCAGTTATTATGGTAGTTTGTAGATCTTGTACTATTGTTCCTTTTTGTCGAGCCTGCGAAATTTATTTCGCGAAAGCGAGACAAAGCATTACTAGATTCCGTTGTAGGCGTCGGCGGCGTCAACATTAAGTTTCAGTCTGTGGTTAAAGTTTTTTTGGACATCAATAACTTTGTCAAACCTGCATGGAATTAGATGAAATTTGGACAGAAGCTTGTTTATGACCAAAATACAGTATCCAGAACAAAATTTTGAAAATATTTATTTTCATTTTTCCGTATTTCACTGATAAATGGACTTAGTTTTTTTTACAATTAACATTCATATTCCGTCTAAGGTTAAAGTTTTTCAGTCATCAATAACTTTGTCAAACCTTCACGGAATTTTATGAAATTTGAACAGAAGCTTCTTTTATGACCAAAATACAGTATCCAGAGCAAAATTTTGAAAATATTTATTTTCATTTTTCCGTTTTTTGCTGATAAATGGACTTAGTGTTTTTTTTTAATTTAACAAATAGATCCAGTCTGGGGTTAAAGTTTGTTACACATCAAATACTTTGTCAAACCTTCATAGAATTTTATGAAACTGTTTCTTGATTAAGAGATAATGTCTGAAGCACACTTATGAAATATATTTTCATTTCAGTATTTTTCTGATAGATGGGCTTTTTTTTTTACAGTTAACATTTACTGACAGTCTGGGATTAATTTTTTTTGACATGATAAGTTTGTTAACCTTCATGGATTGTTATGAAACTTGGACAGAAGCTAACTTTCTAGACCAAGAAAAAGCATCTAAAGAGAAAGTTTGAATCTTTTTTAACATTCTGTATTTTACTGATAAATGGACTCGCTTTTAAGTCAACATTACACTTTTACACTGACAGCAGCAATTGTAGGCGATGCACAGGATTCATCGGAACCCCTTACAAATTTTTGTTGTTTACAGTTTCTTCATATCTAGTATAATTTTCGAGATAATTGGTAAACAAACAAATGTAAATCAAAAATCGTCATTACTACCAGTCCCTGAGGATATCGTCAGCTCAGTTGTCAGTACTTCGGTACTGACATGATTTATACCAAACTTTTCTGAAATTGTCTTTTTATAAATTTGAAAATTATTAAAAAAAACACTAAGATTTCAACTCCCGCAGGTATGGATTTGGCTATTTGTTTTAGGTCAAATAGATCTTCAACTGCTCTTATACATCCTTGCCTTCAAATAATCGGCTTTGAGCGTCCCCGATGAAGGTAAATCCACAAAAGCGCATGATAAAAAGTGTTTTCATTTTTAATGGCAATAACTCCTAATGGGTCATCCTATTGTTTTGGCCAATTTAGCATTTTTAGAGGTGTTGTATGTTGGATCATGTTAGTTGTTTTACAGTCGCACTTTTTCGAAATAATTGTCAAAAATACAGCATTTGTCTAAAATCGTTAAGGAGTATTCCTATGGGTTTGGTCATTTTAAATTTTTACAGAACTTGTTTTGCTGATTATTTTTGCTCTTTTACAGTAAAGCTACTATTGTAACTTTCAGACAAACATGAAAATTAGTAAAAAGGATTGTCAATTAAAGGTAATAACTCAAGAAGGTAACATTCAATGGTATCAGTTGCATTGACGTTCTTTGCAGATATTGAACCAAAAACAGAAATCTGTCAATTATTTCAATGATCTTTATATTGTGATGAATACATAATGGAGGGTTATTTGAATTAAGGACGGATGGGGTTGGTGGCTAGGAAGATTTTACCCCCAACCCCCGCCAATTATCCTTATTTTTTTCGTAAATATTTAATATAACCTTGGTACATGTTTTGAAGAGAGAAAAAAAGTTTTCCTCTTGAATTACTTAAATGCTCTCAAAATGTTGAAAATTAAAAATTAAGTTACTGCTAGAATGATAAATCCAAAACATTGCCCTAATAATGAAATCTAATATGATGTAGAAATATCATACTAACTCGCTCAATCCTCTTCGTGCTTTGATGCGCATAAGTCCATGGCCGGTGCCAAACCCACACGAGAAGGGAGAAGGATTGTGCATAGGACAAGCATCAACGTGACGTTAAAAAAACTTCCGCTACAGAAGTCAAGACGATAATAGCCGGTAAAAAAGTTTTCTGCTGAAAACCCACATTCCTTTGTTAAGATGAGCCAATGCATAGAGATCCATCAGGATATTACTAAATTTGAAGTCAAGTGAGGGTTAATGGATAAAAACATTTCAGCTGTCCAATATTTCAAGTATTTAAAGAGAGAACCTTTGGATTAATAAAGTTGAGTGACCAAATTTATACCTAGTTGATATAAAAAGTCATTAGAGATACCACTTAGTATAGCATATTCGCGTTTTGTCAACACAAAGACTCACTTGTGACTCGAGAATCATTATAGTTAATAATCAATGTCAAATACGAAGTTGAAGTGCGTTGAAAACAATTAATTCGAGGAAAAAGTTGTGCCAAATCCGGCTAAGGATACTATGCCTTGGGTAGAAAAACCTTAGACTTTCCAATCTTTGAAACATTTTGTACGAATTCACAGAACATTTACAGAAAAAATATCAGAATCAATGATATGTTTCATGTCAGCAAAGGGGCAATTTTTACTGGGCTGGTGATACTCTCGGAGGGATTTCGTTACCACAAATTACTTAAAACCTTAACTTAATTCTCCCATAGATACAAAGATTTGGTTTGCAAGTTTGGCTGTACCTGTAGAAAACTTATTTCAAACGGAATAGCACATCCTAAATTAATCGAGCCCGGAAATTTAGATACGATCCGGGTAAACTTATCAATCCTTTAAATAAACTTATTCTAAAAGGTTACCAATTCAACACTATACTAAATCTTTGAATATTGTTTTTATAGGTATAAATATTGATTTTGTTATCAGTAAATTAAAAAATTTCCTATATACCTTAATATAACACAAGGTACTTAACTTCCGTTATATTTCAATTTCTAGGTTGTCTACCCCACTAAAACTTGTTATGCCGTAAATCTAAATTGATTTACCTACATAATGGTGTATAACACGTATACCTTTGTTGTCGGAATCATTCGTAGGAAATTATTTTTCGGAGACAAGTGCCTGTGACTAAACATTGTTTACACATAAGTACTTTCACGATACTGTTAATGACGTGTTTATACTAAATCCATTGAATGTTGGATGTGTACTGATTGATATTTTAATCTTAGATACATGATTTTTTATTTAGTTGTTATTGGATTTGAACTAGCTGTCAGTAACTGCGAGTACTCTCAAATCTGTACTTAGTGTTTTTATTGTTGTTAGGGGTGAGGAATGGATATATACCCTGCCATGTCCGCTCTGTGTTTTTGTTTGATGTTTTTCGGCTTTGTATCGATCTGATAAGTTAAGCCTTATTCGACTGATTTTTATAGTTTGTTCTTATTTTGTGCTGTTACACCACTGTCGCAGGTTATGGGAAGGGTTGAGCGTTCACAAACATGTTTAACCCCGCCACATTCTTTGTGTGCCTGTCCCAAGTCAGGAGCCTGTAGTTCAGTGGTTATCGTTGGTTCATGTTTGTCATATTTGTTTTTTTAAATTATTTTGTTATAAATTAGGCCTTTAGTTTTCTCAATTGAATTGTCATATTTTTCATGTCGGGGCCTTTTATAGCCGACTATACGGTATGGGTTTTTCCTCATTGTTGAAGGTTGTACGGTTGCCTATAATTGCTTACATTCACTTCATTTGAACTTTGGTGGATAGTTGTCTCATTGGCAATCATACCACATCTTTTTATACCCATCAGCATTGTCAGCATTTGTATCGACATAATGTCCCCGTCATACTAGATACTAATATGGCAAAATGTATTTCCAGTGATAAAAGTAATTATGATTGTAATAACCCTTTAAAATTGCTATTTAAACTCAAAATAGAAATAAAGGACATTAAATCTTGGAAGGCGGAAAGTAAAATCAGGACATTGTTGTTTTATATGTGTTGCTAAACTTGCATGGTTGTCAGTTTACCTCTTCTTATCGGAAACGGCGAAGCTAACATTTCTTCAATGACTAAGAACCAAATACAAGAAGCATTGATAGATTAAAATTGCTTTGAAGAAAAGAACCAAGTTAGCGAAGATCTTGAACAGGACATGTTTGACAGTTTGAGTAAGAAAATGTACCTAATTGTATCTCGTTTGGTATAAACAATTTACGGAGAAACACGTCAAGGTTTGAAATTATCAACAAAAAGTAATAGGAATATGAG